CAGTTCGAACGGCTAATCAAAGCCTCTAATGCCGTTTTACCACAAGAAGCGTACGAGGTGCTAAAAGGAAGAGGTATTAATGCATCCGACTGGCTGTGAGTCAACGCTAGCAGGTACTGTCAACGAGATGGACAGACGCACAGATTCACCCACAAAACCAGTGAGACTGACCGATTATGTGGCATCACAAATTGTGACATCGGACATTGTGACCTCGGGCATTGTGACCTCGGTTCGTGTCAAGCAGGATGAGTGTTGCTGAAGACTCGTCAAGCCTAAGCATGGCTGTGACGAAGTTTCCTGGATTATTGTCTTGTGTGCACTCGCAAGAGCCGCGATTCGCTTCGTGGTAGGTTCGTGGTAGCAATTCTCTGGAGAACCAGAGTGACACGCCACCGCCACTATTGGTAATGGTCTTCCCGACCAAAGTCGAGCTCGTTCATTGAAGTGGTGACGAGGTCTTTGCAGTGTTTTATGGGGATGAGAGTAACCACGCTATTGCAGTTCTGCATCAAGAGCCTTGAGCGGTGTATGTCGAGGGCAAGAGGAAGATTGCATGGATAAAGCGAGTACGGAGTAGAGATCTCTGGAGAATGAGGAAGGAAGGAAGCGAGAAAGAGTGGTTGCGAACTGGAGTGTAGCAGCGAGAAGAAGTTTGAGACCACCAACCCAGGGCTGAGGCCTGACATATAAGCCGAATGAAGCGTGAACAAATGACAGTCAAGTAGGATAAGTTCTCCGGAGAAGGGATGCCCAATAATGAGCTCTGGAGCGACAGTGGCACTAGCAACCTTGGTTGGCGGCAAGCGGAAGGGGCACATGGCCTTGTCCTTCATCTCCACAGACTCGGATTTCCCAAGTTTTATACTTGGCTTGATCCGGAATATTCTGTCCACTGGCCGAACCTCCTTCCTGCCGTGCAAGCTATGTGTACCTGTGCCTGTGTGCCTGTGTGCTGTATGCTGTGTGTGTGTGTGTGTGTGTGTGTGTGTGTGTGTGTGTGCGTGGAAGATCATGGGCGTGGAGTTCCGATGCGGCAGTTGACCCTCGCCCTTTTTTTTCGTAAGAAAAAAAGGGATAGAAACACGAGTCAGGTCGTGGCCGTACCTGCAGGGAGCACTATTTACTACTACCTAGGTAGTCACAAGTCACAACTGACCTACATACCATATTCATTACATTATTCTATTCGACCTACCGAACCGGCTAGGCCCTGCTGGCAGTCGAATCCTTTACGCTATCACTTTTTCTTGACCAAACCAGGTCTAGAGCATCGCATTGTGCAAGGAATAGAGCTCCAAGGTTTGATTCTCAAGGAGAATCCTATCCGAGATCTATGATAATCAATGCGGATATCAGATCTTGACACCTTGTATCGGTCAGGGCTCATCCTTGAATCCCTGCCCTCTGAAGAATCGGACTGGGAAGAACTGCCTCTCCTATAATGCACCGCGAGTCATTATAACTGTATTCATTTCCTCCCAACATTCCGGGACGAAAGCAAGGCACTCTGCCTTCGGCTCCATGGGGAGGGTGAGCTACTACGACGTAGCATAGGTAGTTTACCACCTCGCTTCCAATCCAAGGTTCTTCAAGCGGCCGGTAGAAGTATCCGGCTGCCCTCCCACCCAATCGGAGGCGTGCTACTCACCTTGCGTGCCACTCACTCCATGCCCCCCGTTCGTCCCTCCATGCCACACCTCATTCCCATTATATACCTTATCCATGACTCTGGAATACTCGAGTGATCTCAGCCACGGATGGGGGCTCCCAAGTTATGTCAAGTCGTGTTCTCGGAAAACTGAAAAGGGCGCCAGAACGGTTCGGATGGGATCTTGCCTTGTGCAAATAAGCTTCTCACGCTCCAAAATTCTTACTACGCATTTTTATTTCTCTGGTGTCGCTCACCTATGTATGCTTGGCAGATTCTCTGGGTATTGATCGAGCTCTATGTGGAAGACATGACTCAGTATTGGGACCCCTTTCATACTCCTTGATCACGGCAAGTAAGAGTATACTGGTTCGAAACACAATACTACAAAGTGATTCTAGTATAGTTATAAGAGCTATTGGGTATTCCTGCTGACTCTAAAGATAAACAGGTCTTCAGGTTACTTGGTATCGATAACCTCACTATATGTATTCACCAGTTCCGTGTTGAGCCAACAAGCGTGGAGGATCCTGACCTGTCTAATGTGACCTGATCCTAGCTCCGGCGATCTTTGCATGCTCACCACCATAGAAAACATGGATTATAATCTGTGACCGACGCAGTGGCTCTGTAATTTCAGAATGGACAGGTAGTAGAAGGCACGGTAACCTATGGCGAGCGGCAAGTCTTTGGGGGGTTTTTGATCTGTCGACTGCATAAATGAGTCAGCAGGCCAGCTATGCACAGATAAGATAAGCACAAATCCGTCCAAGCGAAAACCCTCAAAATTCAACTCCGCCGAAACAATCCAAATCCCACACGCCGACGCCAAGTAGCTACGCCTGACGACGTGCCCCCTCTCCTGCCCTCTCTCCACCCATCTCCGCCCCCCGTTCACTCGGAAATCTTATCATCGTCAACAGTCGCTTTTCTGTTGCAAACATGTCCTACGAAGAGCGCGCCAACCAGCACCCCAACTTGGGCGACGAGTCCGATGTTGAGGAGGAGGCCCTTGTCAACGACTACCGCGAGCAGGTCAACTATGATGATGGCATGAGCGAGTTGGACCGGACCACATCTCTTGGAGCTGGCTCGCAGGCACAGGATCTCCAGGCACAGCTCGCCGCCGCCGCGACCCCGCTTGAATACCAGGCCACGCTGGAGACTAAATTTGCGAGCTACGATAACTACTGCAGCCTTTTCCACTACATCTTGAACTCGGACGGCCCCGTTGAGTTGGAGGTTCCTTCGGTATGTTCTTTCCCCCGCCCTGCTCAGAACGTCTCGCGCGTCGAGGTTTCGTTGAAAGTTGTTGTGTGGTCGACGTGAACGTCGGCATTCTGGACTAAAATCACCTAACCTTCTGTTTATACAGTACTACTGGGCTTGGGATGTCATCGACGAGTTTATCTACCAGTTCGAGTCCTTCTGTCGCTACCGCAACCGTGTCGCTCGCAGCGGCTCCAACGAGGAGGAGGCGCAACTCTTGCGTGAGAACCCGAACACGTGGGGCTGCTACTCCGTCCTTAACGTCCTTTACTCCCTCATCCAAAGGTCGCAAATCAACGAGCAATTGGCTGCCATCAAGCGTGGTGAGGACCCATTGGCCGTCGCAGGAGAATATGGCTCTCGTCCTCTGTACAAGATGCTGGGATACTTCTCCATCATCGGACTTCTGCGTGTCCACTGCTTGCTCGGTGATTTCAGCCTCGCCCTGAAGACTCTTGATGACATCGAGATGAACAAGAAGGCCATGTTCGCCCGTGTTATGGCTGCTCACTTCACGACCTACTACTACGTCGGTTTCTCTTACATGATGATGCGCCGCTATGCCGACGCCATTCGCATGTTCAGCCACATTCTGGTTTACGTCTCCCGCACCAAGAACTTCCAGAAGGGCGGCAACAGCTACGATGCCATCGCCAAGAAGAACGACCAGATGTACGCTCTGATTGCTATCTGCGTTGCCCTCCACCCCACTCGCTTGGATGACACCATTCACTCGGCTCTCCGTGAGAAGTACGGCGAGCAGCTCAACCGCCTGCAGCACGGTGGTCCCGACGCCCTGCCTCTGTTCGAGGAGCTCTTCCGCTCTGCCTGCCCCAAGTTCATCAGCCCCACTCCTCCTGACTTCGAGAACCCTGCCCTCAACGTTGACCCGGTCGATCACCACACTGCCATCTTCATGGATGAGGTCAAGAACACCCTGTACAACCCTACCATCCGTTCCTACCTCAAGCTTTACACGACCATGGATTTGAAGAAGCTGGCCGGCTTCTTGGAGGTGGAGCCTGAGAAGCTTCGCTCTTGGTTGCTGATCAACAAGCAGCGTAGCCGTCAGGTCCGCTGGGTTGAGGGTGGTTTGTTGGAAGGTGAACCGGCCATCGCCAACGACTTGGACTACGCTCTCGAGAAGGACCTCATTCACGTGAGTGAGACCAAGGCTGGACGCCGCCTTGTTGATTGGTACCTTCGCAACCTCGCTCGTGTCTACTAATTTGACAGCCCAATACATCGATCACCGTCTTAGACGCAAGAGCTTGAGGCTTGAGATCTCGGAGATGCGATCACTCCGTCTTCATAGCCACAAGGGTCGATGGTATTCACGTGGACAACACGGCACTCCCAATGCCGATTGACCGGGCAACTCGACCCTATGGATGCACGAAATTGAGGTCAACAGTGACTTGGTGGCTTAACCTCCCACCTCTACCCCCACCCCCCACCCCCTTTTGCCTACTGATCCTCTCACCTTACCCCGCCACTCAAGTTATGATGCCTTTTATTTCTATCTTCATATTATCCCTCCATGTTGTTTTCTTTCACATGTCCATGCTTTTTTTCTTAGGGTTGGGGCCTTGAAACCGATCAGGTTACGGGGTTGGAGTCGACACAAAAGAAATTCTCGAGGATTTGATTAATTCGCGGCGTATTCCATTATGCTTGTGCTTTGGTTTTTGCTTACTGTTTCGACGACATTGTCCGGTCTGGGCTGTGCATCATGCTTTTGTTTGTTGCTTGCTTGCACAGTACCCAAAAAGAATGCAGCTGGCAGAGCACAAGGCTGTAGTGATTACATGATGAAATAGATGATGACGTTATTTAATCCTTTCCATTCTCCCATAAATTGCGCAAGTATGAATACCTTTACGCGCCTGAAATCCCAACAGAAGCGGAGTGGGGGTATACTATTTACAATCTATTCGGTTAAGCATAGCTATGTTGTGGTAGTTTGATGCACGCCAACTCCCAAGTACAATACATGGGCAGAACAGAGCACGACTGCCTTCAGAAATGGGAGCAGGAAAGCCCGACAACCATGATCCGCAAGACCCTTAACGACCCCCTCCTACTCGAGAACGTCGAAACTCGTCCCGCAACCGCAATTACTCGAAGCTCTCGGGTTGTCGACAATCTTGAACTGACTTCCAATCAGCTCCATCGTGTAATCCACCGTACTTCCGTGAAGCAACTCCAACGAAGGTTCATCCATGACGACTTTGGCCTCGCCGGGTCCGGCAGGAGCGTCCTCCGCTTCGAAGACGGTATCTTCTTCGGGGTCGATCTTCGACGCTGCTTCGAGGGACATCATATACTGAAACCCATGACAGCCGCCGCTTGTCACGGTGATCCGGAGGTGGTCGTAGGGGTTTTCCTCCTTCGTGGCTGACGGGGAGGAGGTCGGGTCTGTGATCTCACGAAGCCGCTATAATACGAAGCCGTTAGTTTAATACTCGCGACTGAGTGCAAATAGGTAGAAATCAAGGACAGAACAAAGGACTTAGGCCACGCTACACAGCGACAGGCCGCAAGATATAACAAAATTAAACAGAACGAAAAAGGAACAAAGAAAAAAAACATACAACAGCCGGGATTCGCTGGTGGTCACCCACCCAACTACTAACCGGCCGGCGTGTGGCTTGAGTACGGCTGAGCGGACGGGAAGCCCTATTTTCCACACCCTGTGGTCGTATGTACTGGATGAAGAGTGGTCATGGTACTTCTTGCGATGGTACCATATGACCTCCCTCCTGCCACTGCCATAGCTTGGGGTTGTGCATATAACCCGACTCCCGTCCGATTCATGAGCACCCAGCTTCCATCACAACCCAACATACTGAAATATGAAGATGTCGGAAGAGAGATAGAAACCTACTTCTGCGGCCCGCGGGGATATCTTGATTGTGAGTTCTTTTCCATCCTCGTCAACTCGGGGGTTCTGTAGGATCTTCGCGTTCGTCCGGATCGCTGACGAGGAGAAAGGGTAGCGCTGGCGGATTGCATTGTGGAAGACCACGGAGTATCGCGGAGTAAGCTTCTGGGACGCGATGCCTCTCATAGCTTTCTTAAGAGGACGCAAGCTGGACCGGAGGGATGCCGTGTCGCAAAACGATGCGGCGAAGTTCACCGGAGGCGCGGCCGATGGCGAAAACGCGGAGATGGATGAGTGAGGTCGCGATAGCCGGCGGACGACGGATGATATTACCGGACGAGACATGATGGTCTTCAAAGATCTCCAAGATCAAGGAGCTAGTGGATTGGCGGCGTTATCGTGGTCACTGACGTCTCGGGTTGTAGAGAGGCGTGACTGATTATATATCATCATCCCAAAGATACTGCCGTTAGTCAGAGTGAGCGGCGTGGCGTCATTGGTTAATCGGCCGTCGGCAGACATCGGCAGAATAATCACCGTGCAGTTGCCCGCCTTTCTGGCCGATAACCGATCGCGGGGAACTAAACCGAACCGCGAGCCGGGTGCCAATCGTGCTCTAAGAGCTAACCCTTGTCGAGATTTGACTATAGCACTCGGTCTGACTTCTCACATCCCTCATAGTCACCAGCTACTAGTACTGATTGGTTTTTTTCCAGCTTCACAAGATAAAGGACTGGCTTCTAGCGGATCAAACGCAATGCTTCCCGATCTGCAAGCAAAGCGCGCAAATGGTGGTCCCCCACTTTCTGACTTTACAAGAGAATATGCGCAATCGCTTGATGCGCAGGATCCTCTACGTCACTTCCGACAGGAATTTCTCATCCCCTCGAAAAGTGATTTGAAGAAGAAGACCTTAGCTCTACCGGATGGATGTACGTCAAACGAGCAAGTTTTCTGTAGCATGGACCGTGGATTAACCAGAAGCATTGTTCGTTGATATAGATAACGAGGAGGCTGAGGAAATATCCATCTATCTATGCGGGAACTCCCTTGGAGTCCAGCCCCGCAATGTTCGCAAGTATATTGACCACTATTTGCGCGCGTGGGCCATTAAGGGTGTGACGGGACATTTTGTATCGCATGATGACCAGCTGCTTCCACCCTTTGTCAACGTTGACGAGGCTGGGTCGAAGTTGATGGCGCCGATTGTTGGAGCTCACCCTGAAGAGGTTGCCGTGATGGGTACGCTGACAGCGAACCTGCACCTGCTGATGGCGAGCTTCTACAAGCCTACTAAGGAGCGATACAAGATCATCATCGAGGGCAAAGCATTTCCAAGTGATCATGTATGTGTCGGATCTTGGGCGAGCCGGAAGAGCAGCCACTGACATACGAGGAGACAGTACGCCGTTGAGTCTCAGATCAAACACCACGATCTTCGCCCAGAAGACGCCATGGTTCTCATCGAGCCCCAAGACTCCGAATTCCCCACCTTGCCCACCGAGCAAATTCTTCGTGTCATCGATGAGCATGCCTCGAGTACAGCTGTAATTCTTCTCTCTGCCATCCAATTTTACACTGGGCAGTATTTCGACATCGAGGAAATCACCGCGTATGCCCAGTCGAAGGGCATTTTGGTTGGCTGGGACTGCGCCCATGCGGCCGGCAACGTGGACTTGCGATTGCATGACTGGAATGTGGACTTTGCTGCATGGTGTACCTACAAGTACCTTAACAGCGGTCCTGGCTGTATGGCGGCCCTTTTTGTCCACGAGAAGCACGGCAAAGTAGACAGAGATAAGATTGGCACTGCAGAGCAACCCTTCCGCCCGCGCTTGTCAGGTTGGTGGGGAGGAGACAAGCAGACGCGGTTCCTGATGGAAAATAGTATGGTATCCCGAGATATCTCAAGCCTCAAGCTCTAATTTCACACCCCCCGCAGACTTCGTTCCTCAGACAGGTGCCGCAGGCTACCAGCTCTCGAACCCGTCGGTTCTGGATATAAACGCGCTTGCGGCCTCCCTCGAACTTTTCAACCGGACTTCAATGGCGCAGATCCGGGAGAAGTCCCTGCAGATAACTGCATACTTGGAACAACTCCTTCTGGAGTTTCCGTCCGAGTCGCTTCCAGAGAGACCGTTCAATATAATCACACCCTCGAATCCAGCAGAGCGGGGTGCTCAACTCAGTCTGCGCTTGGCGCCGGGTCTTCTCGACGGCGTTCTCGAGGTTCTTGAAGAGCACGGTGTTGTGATTGATGAACGGAAGCCAGACGTCATTCGAGTGGCGCCTGCGCCTATGTACAACTCGTACATCGATGTTTGGGAGTTTTGTCAGGTCTTTCTGAAGGCCTGTCAGCAGGCTTTGGACGCCCGTAAGTGAACATACAACTTGTGTATCTGTGATTTTGGAAAGAAAACCTCTCAACGACCAAATCCTTCCATCCTCTTATCCATGCAATCGACCGTGACCTATGAGATTTCCGGGTCCACGTCAACTTTTAGCAAGGCTTCTGGGACGATGACAAACATATAATCCAAATATACCACCAGTCATATTGACAAATATGGATTGGATCTTCACCGAAGGGTCTAATCTTTCAGTAGGTGTCCTTGGCTCCACATGTATGTATATCCTGTTCATATCAAATCATCCGAGGCAAGAGATCGCTTTCGCGGTTCCTCTAATACATGGCAAAGAGAAAGTATTTGGGGCAGTACGAAGTGGGCAGTTCTTAAGCCTGCTATGTAGGAATAGATTTCCTATGAAATACTTATTACGTATAGTAGCGAAAATAACCTACTATTAACCATATAAATTTGTCGGTTGTCTTTACTAAACAACGCCCAAGTCCGGCCTGTTACAGCAGTACTTACTAAAAAGGCCCGTAATCAGCTCCTTTATCATTACACTGGGCATATATAAGCGGATCGTACCCAGACTAATCAGGCTGCAGGATTGACCAAGATTGGCCAGCCCACACCTGATTATAGTCTTTCAATGGTCCTTGTCCTTGAAGCTCCGCTTATTCTGGGAGTTCGAGCGGCCCTACCTAGTAGTGTGGCCATCTGTACTGTACAAAAGTATGGCAACTGCTACACACGTGCAACTAGTACGAGCCTAATTGACGAAGGATTCCGGTTATTTTGCACGAAAGACTTGTTTCATATCAACCCTCGGGCCATTTTATACTTTCCGTGCGCCAACATTCTGTACCTAATATAGAACATAAACCCTGGAGATTCATCCAAATGCAAAATAAGCCGGCTCCAACGATTGACGCTCTGACTCCCACGCTAACCAATCTGATCTCGTAGTCCTGTGAAAAAGATAGAATGTTAGCCATCCGTCCAGCCCAGCAGCCGCGCGAGAAGAGAGCCCACTTACGGCAGGAGACCCATCGCGTTGACCTTCCAGATACCCAAGCAAAGTAAGACTAGCTGCATTACGACATAAATGGCCTTGACGCCCAGAAGCTTGCTCCGTGTGCCTTCGGTTTCGAACTTGGTGAAGACGGTGTTGGTATTGATGAGGCCTTGGATCGGGCCCTTGAAGAGCATGAAGACCATCATGATGCTGAAGATTTGGAGACTGTTGCCAGACATGTACATCATAATCGCGTTCATGGGGATTTGCTTGGAGGGAGCCAGGGCAATCTCCCAGGCCTTCTTCAACTTCAGGGTATCGGTCTCCTCGGGCTTGGTCGGCGCGGCGGTGGTTGATGACTGTTGCGCAAGCTGCGGACACAATTATAAGGGTTAGTTCGGTGGCCTCGGAGGGGGGGGGGGGGGGGGGGGGGGGGGGGGGGGGGGGGGGGGGGGGGGGGGAGAAGGGGGAGTAGGGAGTATTCATGACAGAACATACGTTTTTACCGCCCATCTTCTTCGAATAGCCTGGAGGATCGGGGATTTTGGCGGCCTCTTTGCTTGGGCGCGGCATCGGGGTGTTTAGCCTGACCACCCATTCTGGGGGTGGAGGCGGGTTGAGAGGTTGCGCAGCCATCCTCCAAGTTTGTTTAATGGACTCAAATATGAGATAACGAGGAGGGAGCTGAGCACAAGCGAGCGTAGCGTAGTAGAAGGGTTGTTGATGGGCAACGGTGCGGAGAAGGCAAGCTGGAAGAATGTTGATTGATGACAACCCCCGTCGTCCTCCTCCATCCGGACTGGGAATTTCTCCACAAGCGGCGGGCGGAGTTGGCGGCTCCCGATCCACTCCTGATTCTCAATCCAACCCAGACCCTGATCGAGGCTCGTTCCCCTTTTGACCTTGTTAATCTCGACTTTGGATTTCTCTCTCGACTGTCAGATCGAACTGGGGGAGACAGTGATTATTTCCCATTGAACCTAGGTTCGACCCCAATCCGCTTCCGCGCTCATTCCTCCGTGCACCGCTGACTCCTTTAGCACTCGCCTGCACACCCCTCTCCCTTCTCGAAAGGTCATGGAAGCTGCGGCCAGCTAAAGATCTCCTCCCCCTCGAAGCTAGCATACCGACACGAACCAACGTCGCTATACATGCACATGCGATTTTGAAACACCACCACCTTCACCTGCAAACCCTGCGCCAGCCCTGTTTTGAAAAGTACCAAGCCACCGAACCTCGCCCGATTCGTCACCTATAACCCTCCGACGCAATGAGTTCTAGCGGGGGAGATGCGAAGTTGTTCGCAAGGGTATGTACTTGCGCATGCACTGCTCTTCCGTTTCGTCGGTCGCTTTGAGGCCTTGGCCTGGTGACTTTCTATCATCCTTCCGCATCTTCCCCCTCCTCAATCCGTCAAATCACACTCGACGGTAGCTCTCTTCCATACGAACCGAGCACTGTCCTATTCCTTCCTCCTCGCACCCTTGGGGCAACCTCTTTTCGGTCATCCATGAAATCCTATCCACCTCACACACTTGAGTCTCGCTCGTTCTAGAGGAGACTCCCTGTGATCCCATGTTTCTCAGTGTGGTCCCCTATAGTCCGCAATATGGCTTACCATTCTCTCAATCTAAACAGGGCAAAGTCGCCGAACTGCGCCAGGAGCTCAACAGCGGTGGGAAAAAGGATAAGAACCATTCGGCCAAGAAGATCGCCCTCAAGAAGATTGTCGCAAACATGACGATGAGCAACAATGACATGGTAGCCTTGTTCCCGGATGTGATCGGTTGCATGAACCTGCCCAGTCTGGAAATCAAAAAGATGTATGTCGAGAGGGCGAAAACCGATTGCGGATACAATTGTTCGGCGCTGACTTGTCTTTAACGATACAGGTGCTTCCTGTTTCTGGTCAACTACTCCAGGGCGAAGCCAGATATTGCGCTCAAGGCGTTGCCGATTCTGGTCGATGTATGGATGATGCCCAGCTTTCTTCCCCCACCTGGATGCACTTCGATGGATTTCCTAACGAGCGCATAGGATATGGAAGATTCTAACCCGCTCGTGCGTGCTCTGGCTTTACGAACGATCTCATATGTCCACGTTCGCGAGTTTGTTGAAGCCACAGTCGCACCGGTCAAGCGATTGATGCAGGATATGGATCCCTACGTCCGGAAAACGGCCGCCTTTTGTGTCGCGAAGCTCTACGAGCACGATAAGAAGATGGTTGAAAGCTCCGACCTGATCGACCGGTTGAACAGCATGCTTAAGGACGAGAACCCGACGGTGGTATCCAGCGTCCTTGCCTCCTTGGTAGATATTTGGGGACGGAGTGAATCGATCTCTCTCACCATTGACTACGCCAGTGCGTCGAAGCTGGTTTCGATCCTACCAGACTGCTCTGAGTACTTACTCCTGTACCCGATGAAACCAGTCTTTTGCTAATAAGACCCATAGGTGGGGGCAATCATACATTCTCGAAGCCTTGATGTCCTATGTTCCTCAAGATTCCGCTGAAGCGCTCTTGCTGGCAGAGCGTATTGCTCCTCGCCTGTCGCATTCCAACTCTGCCGTCGTTCTGACTTCGATCCGGGTCATCCTCTACCTCATGAACTATATCGCCGACGAGAGACATGTTACCTCGTTAGCGAAGAAGTTGTCACCGCCCTTAGTCACACTTCTCTCCAAGCCCCCAGAAGTCCAGTATTTGGCTTTACGCAATGCCATCTTAATCCTACAGAAGAGGCCGGAAGTCCTACGGAACGATATCCGCGTCTTCTTCTGCAACTACAACGATCCGATCTATGTCAAAGTAACGAAGCTGGAATTAATATTCATGCTGACTACGAAAGAAAACATCTCTGTGGTGCTCGCGGAGCTCAGGGAGTAAGTTTGCCTTTTGATGTCCTGACGATCGCACAGCTAACAATGGTTAGGTATGCCACAGAGATCGATGTCCATTTCGTGCGCAAGGCAGTGCGCGCGATTGGCAAATTGGCGATCAAGATCGAGTCGGCCGCACGGCAGTGTATCGACACCCTCCTTGACCTGGTCAACGCAAAGATTCCCTACATCGTCCAGGAAGCGACCGTGGTCATCCGAAACATCTTCCGCAAATACCCCAACCAATACGAGAACATCATCAGTAACGTCATCCAGAACATCGACGAGCTCGATGAGCCAGAGGCCAAGGCCGCTATCATCTGGATAATCGGACAATACGCAGACCGCATCGAGAACTCTGACGGCCTTCTTCAGGACTACCTCGCCACCTTCCACGACGAAACCATCGAGGTTCAACTGGCCCTCCTGACCGCAACGGTGAAGTTCTTCATCCAACGCCCAACCAAGGGCCAGCAGCTGGTCCCCCAAGTGCTGAAGTGGTGCACGGAGGAGACGGACGACCCCGACCTCCGCGACCGAGGGTACATGTACTGGCGGCTCCTCTCCACCGACCCCGCGGCCGCCAAACAAGTCGTCATGGGCGAGAAACCGCCGATCAGCGCGGAGAGCGAGAAACTCGACCCGAAGACGCTAGAGGAGCTGTGCTTGAATGTCGGCACGCTGGCCACGGTATATCTGAAGCCTGTCCAGCAGGTCTTCCGCAATGCGCGGACCAGACGATTGCAGTACAGCCCCGCCCTGCAGAAGCCGCAAGAGGAAGCCACCAGCGCCGCCAGCTGGCAGTTTCCCGCTGCGGCGGCACAGGTCGCGGCCAGTAGTCCCACGGCCGCGACGGCCGCCAACCCGACGGGCTTCCCGATGACCGGCGCGGCGGCGGGTGACATGAACGCCGCCGTCAGCGCCGCGGACAACTACTTCAACAGCGTCGGCAGCCAGCAGATGGCCGCGCTCGATCTGGGCGGTCGCGGCGACGGCGGTGCCGGGGGCGGTGGCGCGTCGCAGACCCAGTATGTGGTCAACCAGAATCAGCAACAGGTCTATCAACCCCAGTTGGCTGGTGGTGCGGCGACGGGAGAGCTGTTGCTGCTGTAATATCCTCTACGTAGTATTCCTGCTCATTCCGCTGCGTCCGTTCTTCATACTTACTTCATTGGGTTTTCCCCTTCTTGCATTCATCCTTTGAGCGATGCCAGCTTTTTGATCGCAGGCAGGGACTTGTGATACCTCTTATTATTCAACATTTCTATTATATGTATCATTTTAACTACACACAAAATGTAAAGAAGTTGGGGGGGGCTGGATTCATGGTTTACAATTTTTATTGTATATCATACACACTTCCTACCCAATCTGCCTGCCTCTAGCAGAATTGAGGTGTATGGACACTAGTTTGCAAAATTGTCATTATTGCGCCAACCATCGATTGCAATGCACCAAAGACGCCGGGGACCATTGGATAAAAACATAGTAGTGGTAGTAGTGGTAGTAGTAGAGCGCTGCACCTAACGAGAATGCTCACTCATCATCATCCAACCGAGCAAGTCCACCACGACTACGTTTGAGGCGGTCATCCAGATTGTCTTCCTGGAGTTGGCGATGAAGACCCGACACAAAACGGCCTTTCTCAGAGCGATGCTTCTCGTCCTCCTCGAGCTGCTTCTGTTCCGCAGCGGTAACCTCTGCAATACGCTGACGACGGGTTTCCTCCATCTCGTCTGCGTTGGAAAGCATCTCTGCCAGTTTGCGCTGACGTTCTTGCTCCAAATCCTTGGCTCCCTGCTCCGTGTTGTTGTTGTTGTTTCTGCCATCCTGCAGGTTCCGGTCACGATTGTACGAGTCCCTCGGTCCTCTGTAGTCCCTTCTGTCAAAGAAGCGATCGGATCTCTCTCGTCGATCGCGGCCACGGACGTCCTGACGAGCACCATCTCCCCGGTCATCAGAACGGCGTATGTCTGAGCGATGGCGATCAGGTCGGGGTGACGGCGATCGATCACGGGGCGCATTCCGACGAGAAGAGCGGTCGTAACGGTCCTCTCGGTCACGGTGATGCCTGCTGGGGTACTCTCTCTCGCTGCCGTCTCTGTCGCCGCGATCGCGGTCCGGGTCTCTTCTGTCGTAGTCGCGATCTCTGCGATCCCTGTCCTCCCTACGATCCCGATCCTCTCGGCGATGATGATAACTCCGGTCGCCCCTCTCATCCCTCCGTCTTCTCTCCGAGCGATCCCCCGCAGCAGCTCTGGGTGATCTCTCCCTCTCCCGGTGCGACCTCCTATCCCCCTCATCGCTATACCTCCTACTCCTCCTACTACCCCGATGATCCCTGTCCCTGTCCCTGTCCCTACTCCCCTCCCGCCGCTGCCTCCTCTCCCTTTCCCTATGCCCCGCTCCAACACTCGCCCCCGCACCTCCCACCACCTGGGACCCCCTCCTCACCCCCTCCTTAATCGCACTCTCCAAAGCCGCCTGCTCCCTCTTCCGAATCTCCAACAACGGATCCGCCAGAACCTTCGCCATCGTATCCCGGGGATTCGTCCCTGCAGCCGCGCCCGCGGCACCATCGTCCCCCGCACCCGCGACCGCGACCCCGCCCACCCCGGCGGCCCCCTTCTTCAGCGCCTGACTCTCATCGTTCTTCAGCAGAATCTGATCGAACCGCCGCTTGCCCAAGAGGTACCCTTCCATCTCCTCGGAGTAGTGGCCCGTGGCGCTCGACGGCTCCTGGTACATCCAGTCGACGCGCTGGATCTGGCGCGGGGCGCCCGAGTCCTCCTGCAGCCGCTGGAGTTCCTGGATCTGGCGCTCTTCGTCCCGCTCGCGCCGCAGCTGGTCGATGCGTTTGCGCTCCTCGAGGGCGCGTTTCTCTTCCGCCCAGACGCGCTCCTGGTTGCGGAGGAGGGAGGGGTGCCATGATCTATTGAGATCGGTGAGTTAGTTGGTTGGACCGGGTGGGGGGGGGAGGAGGGGAGGGGACAGGCTTGATGATAAGGGAAAGGAGGATCTGGAAGGGAAGGTCGGGAGAGAGGACGTACTTCTTTAGGTTGAGATCACCACCCATCTTTGCGGTTGCGGATTAGATGAAGATGGGATAGGGGTCTGGTAGTAGTGGTGGGTTGTTTGGTTGGCAGATTGTTGTGAGGAGAAAAGATGGATGGAAGAAGGATGAAGCTCCGGCGGTTGTGACGATGCAGTGCCACAGGTGGGTGGGTTGTTCTTCCTAATTAGGAAGGATGGGTCCGGTCCCGAGTCGGGGCCCGGGGGCGGTGGCCGGAGCGGACTGCAAGGTGCATGCGGTGGAGGACCAGCCACAACTTGCAAAGAAGGTTGGCGCCACTGCGGGTCAGCACTTTCTGCCCAACTTGTCGACGGACTATCTTCGGAGTGCCTTTGGCCACTGCATAAATGGTGCAGCTGCTGTACTGTACAGAACATACATTGTACAGTACAGTGTAGTGACACACAAGGATCTACTACGGAGTAGACTAATACTAGGAGGAAAAGATCATCAAAGATTCTGCAGTTGTTGATGTAATGGAGTATGCCGACAGTAAAACTAAAACAACAGTCATCGCAGTGCATTAACAGTTACACTGAACGACATTCAATGGATAGATAGGTACAACAAGAAAGGTAGGTAATATATGGAAGCAGATCATAGAACAACACCACGCCTATGCTCACACAGACCTCCTGGCAAGCTTGTGCGCAGTACATATACCAGCAGATCTCTCCATTAGTCTTCAACGCGTTTCCTTATTTATCCCAGCCAACATAACTCCGAGGCATCACACGCCATACCTTACATTCTCCACTCCGCAAGTCATTCAGCTTGAAGCTCTCCATTTTGACCTTCTTGCTTTCTCTGCCCTGCTCCCAGGCGCGGATCTTCTTCTTCGTGCCGTCCCAGTCAACGACAATGCCTACGTGATCGGGCTTGCCAACCTCGGAGCTGTACTTTTGATGCATGGTGCCACGATGGCCCTGGAACCGTGCGTTCCGGAAAGTCACAACATCTCCTGCGCGGATCTCATCATTTTGCTGAACCGAAGCATTGGCCAGGTTAGAGTAGACAAGAGCACCGTAGGCGCGCGTGCCAACAGGAAGCAGGACATCAGACAGAGGACTGAGTAGATGCTGCACCAGGCCATGTGGGGTACCATCCGCGACAGTAGTGTTCTGGATTCCATTGACTGCATTCGCAATGCGCGTGCCAATCTGGTTGTGGGCAGTCTCGAGTTGATCTTGACGCGGCTGATGAGGAGGCGCCTCGTGACGCTGTTCGAGGGCCGCATCACTGGGATTGCGAGCATCGAAGTTCACAGTGATCACAGTTTGGGAGTAGTCGATGAATAAGATATAAACATCCTTGGTCACAGTAGACTTACCGCCCCGCTTGGAGGAATTTGACTCCTCGAATTCGAGAAGAACATCCTTGCGATTCTGGAAAACAGGGGGCGGGGTATTGGGTTGCGTCCACCAAAGAGTATTCTCTGCCAAGTCAACGTCCGTGGCAATAAAGCCTAAATCGATAGATGGACGGGAAACATCCATAGATCTCCGAACACTGGGCTGGGCTCTTGGAATGTCAAGCGATGCACGGTTGCTACGAGGTGTAGGCGGAGGTAGACTAGGGGGCGGGGGAGCCATTGAGGCGCGCTTTTCGCGAGGCGACGAAATGGACGTCTCGCCATAAGGCTGAACGGGCGAAGCTTCATAGAGATCATCGGACTCGTCTTCAGCGGACCGAGGAGGCATCGGTGGAGCTTCCACCGGGCCGCTGGGAACTGGTGGCGGTGGTGGTGCTCTCGAAACAGGCACGCCATGCTGGGGGGCAGTATAACGGTAAGGATCATACTCATCATCATCACCGCCATATGAAGGCTCTCTTTGCGGTGGAGGAGGTGGAGGTCCTCTAGGCGACTGTATTGAGTCTCTGCCGGAACTCTTTGGAGGCTGGATCGGCGGGGGAGGGGGCACTGCGCGTGGGGCAGATAGTGGAGGGGGAGGCGGGAGACGAGTCTGGGGCGGGCTTCCAGGAGATCGAAGCGAGTGTTCGTCGGTCATGACACCTTCGTCGAGGCTAGAATCGCGGCCGTGTGACTTCAGAGCATCCTTGAACTTAGCACCAGATGCGATGTCCGTGTCGTAGTCGCCATCATATTCAGTTATTTCGCCTTCGGTACCCTCGCCAGCTTGGCGGGGCTGCGAAGCCATGCTTGTCCGACTGTCGGTTGTAGACCTTCGCCGCATATTGACTGGAGGAGGGGGAGGGATGGGTCTACTCTGAGATGGGACTGGGGGATTGACTGGTACTGGGGGAGGAGGGCGGCTCATTCTCTTGTCTGCAGGGAGTGTAGGTGACAAGGGAGATGTTGTATCGTAGGTCGATGCTCGGCGAGAGTCGAGATGGTCGGGGAGCGGAGGTGCTGGTTGCTCTGCTGCTGCAGTGGCCGGCGTAGCGTTCGGATGCAGGGACAATTCGTCATCAGATTCGTCTCCTGGATCAGCAGGTGCAGCGCCCTTGGGTGGGGGCAGAGATTGAGCTAGTTTCTCCAAATTAGGACAAATTAAAACTCAGCACTAGTTTGAGCAAACTTACATCCTGGAATCGGCGGAGGGGACAAAGGCTGTTCATGAGGAACTGGAGGTGGTACCGGGCGCGTATTGAGTGGGGGAGGGGGAGGAACTGCGCGCTCTGTGAATGGTTTCAGCAATAGCCCAGGGGTATTAAAAAGCATCTTCCGTACCTTGAGGTGTAAATGGTCTATCGGCAGACATACGCCGTTGAGGAGGTTCTTCATGGACAACTTCCTCTACATCAGGAACCTCGTGTGCAGCATGCTGCTCAGTTATCGGACTTGCGGGAGACTCGTCCTGTTCTTCCTCCTGTTCTTCCTCTTTCTGGACATTAGGATAAACTGGAGGCTTTCCTGCATTCATTCCAGGCAAGGCCATGATAGGGACGGGAGGGGCTGCGGCGGGACGGGAGCTCTCATCATCAATGGCTCTCTCCGCCTCCACAGTCGCAGGCGCCTTAGGTTTGCGAGCCGCACCAGGAATAGGCATCCCACCAGGGGGTCCGAAGAAACCCATCATACCCATACCACCACTCATCTTTGCCATTCTCTCTCGGAGTTCCATCTTCCGCTTGACCTCAGGGTCAATTTCCTCCTCTTCGTCCTCGTCCTCGTCTGGCTGGACTGGTTCCTCGGCTTCTTCGTTGTCATCATCTGACTGCGGTTCATCTGTACGTTCTGCCTTTGCCTGCGCATCCTGAGCCTGTGCTTGACGTCTAGCCTCTGCACGGGCCCGCTCGTCGGAGTCTTCCTTGCTCGTGGAAGTTTCCTCCGCATCCTCCGTGTCGGCAGCAGCAGAATCATCCGCATCATTGGTGTCACTGGCGAGCTCCTGCGCAGGTGGGGGTGGCATTGCATGCTGCGGCACAGCTGGTCCCACTGCTTCATGGGCAGGTTCTCGTGCCGCATCGTTTGCTTCGGCTCCTTCGGCTGAAAGATCTTGTGTAGGAAGAGTGTCTTCGTGGGATTCGAGACGCTTCTTCGGAGGCCGCTTCGCCTTTTCCTTCTTTTGCGCAGCTTCGGCATGACGTTGAGCCTGTTCCATCTGTTGTTTCTGGAGAAGCGCGATACGTTCCTTGAGACTTGTTGGCTTGGGCTGATCCTCCGCGCCTTCTTCCGGACCATCACTTGACAGGGGACGGGTCTCAGACACAGGAGGCTCTCGCGTAGGAAGTTCTCTCGTGACTCGTTCTTGAACATCAGGATCTTCTTCTCTGCGATATACCTTTTGCGGGGGAGGCTCTCTGGGCGGAGGTACATAGGCGTTCTTACTAGGTGGCGGTGCAACAAACGGTTTCCGGATAAACGTGTTGGAGCTCTGAGAGAGGCCGCCTGGCTTGAAAGGCGCAACTGGCGGCGCAGCAGGCTTGTTGAACGCCGCAATACGATCCTTGAAAGACGACCCGGTAGGCTTCTCGGCGACAGCGGGAGGCGGAGGCTTGGATACAGGTTTAGGGACGGGTTCACCAGCATCCCTCGTCGAAGGTTGGGGAATGGGAGCTGCTACCGGCTTAAACGGAGGGACCTCACTTGCCGGCGATGCCAGAGCTGGAGGGGGAGAGCTAGGTGGCTGAGGTACGGCCGCCGGTGTCTTTTCAACCTCGGGCTCATGCTCAGGCTCAGGCTCAGATTCAAGCTCGGGCTCTGGTTCGGGCTCGGGATGGTAGGAACTCTCTGGAGCAGGGATTGCAGGTGCAGCAGCGGGCTCCGGGGGTGGCGGAACCGGCTCTGGTTCCTTTCTGGGTCTGCTGGGACGAGTCGGTCGCGGGGGTGCAGGGGGCTCATATCTTTCGACGAAATTCTTGGGGAAAATGCCCTCTACTTTGCGCCCGGAGTCGTCCGCATACTCACCAAAGTACCACTCAGCATCTTCCTCAGCTGTGACGGTTATAATCTGTCCGATAGCGAAATTAAGGTCGTCATCGTGGTCCGAAGAATACTCGAAGACCGCTCTGACCGTGAATGGCGGACTGGACATTTGGCAAGTTGGTGGTTCCCGTCACGGAGGTGAAATGGATGACTTGGGATCGGAGGAATGGATTGAATCGAAGTGACAGGTGGGATATCTGCAGGCAGAAGCACTAAATTATGTACGGCTTTATGCAGTAAAACATATGCGAGATGTGCTTCACTGCGAGGTGGTCTGCTTTGAGGACAAGGAAAATAACAATAAGAATATGTCAGCCTGGTGGACTGACGTACGTCAGAGCATGGCGGATGGAGAGGGGGGGATCGGAGACGCTCGCTCACACACACCGCCAGAAGGACAGATGGTGGGATCCAGGCTAGTGAGAAACTTACTGCAGTCAGGAGGACACACTGTCCACGGAATAATAAATTATTCACAAAAGGGAAGGTAGGAAGAGAGGGACTATAGAGGGAGGAATTGAGAATTAGAGGCGGAAGGTAGGGAATGATGAGCGGGGGGGGATTTTGGGGGGAGGGGGGGAGGAGAGGGAGAGGAAGAGGGAGGAATGAACAGCGAGGATGGATGTAAGGAAATGTAAGGCAAGTACAGTCAGTTACGACAAGTAGACTAAACTGTAGTTACAAAGTCGTTAGACTCGTTACAGAAAGACAGAAAGACCCTCCTTAGTCCTCTTTCACTTCTCTAAGTTCTCTCACTCTCACTCTCACTCTCTCTTGCTCGCCCGCTCTCACAAGCAGCTCCACCACGGGGGCGATCGGCGGCTAATAAGATTGAGCAGAGGCTGAACCGGTCATCCACCAATTCCATTGCCAATCTTCCAATCAATCAATCAACACATTTCACACAAGTTGGCACCTAAATTGGGTTACTACCAGGTGCACATGCTGTCATTCTTCTCCTGATCTCCTGATTACAGTCGCAATTGGCCACCGATAGGTGATTCTGTAGCAGTTAGTAGGTCATAAGTATGAGTACGGAGCACTAACAAACCTCATCGTCATCCATGCGGGTGTTGTTACCAGAGTGCGCTTAGCTTCCCTTTCAATCCGGGGTTTTTGCCTCCTGCCGACCCGACCAAAATTGAACCTTGTTCATCTCTCACTCCGACCCTCTTCAGGCTGCCGATGCGTCTTGCCTTCCCTTTCCATCCGACCCACTATACTACTACGCCTCATATCTAGTCTCACTTCTATTTAATTCCTTCCCTTTTTTTCTTCGTCCGGTTGTATATATAATCTCCTCGTAATTATGTCCTCGGGTCGACAAGTACTCAAAACCTCACTCCCATCCGCTCACGCAGCTTCCGCTTCGTTAACCCGCTCAACCCCTGCCACCGCGCGTCAATCGCCACCCAAAGCGGGCATGTCACGACAAGAGCAAGGACCATTATCAGCCAGACCCGGCACTGATCCCCGTCATATGGCGATTGCGCTGCACCATGCGCGCCAGATCCAAGCTCAAAAGGACGCAGAGGCTCTCATTCTCGATCGCATTCTCGACCTCGTCCAGTTCCCTACCTCACCGTCCGCCGATCCTAGCTCCCCGTCCCTTGACGATGCTCGGGCCTTCAAGTCTGCATTGACACCCTTCCAACCCGCCGATTACGACAATCTGATCCTGGAAAGAAACATCGAAGGACTATGCGGGTATACTCTTTGTCCCCATGAGCATCGCAAGGAGGACTCCCGAGGCGCCTTCCGCATCACGTGGGGCGCGAAGGGCAGCGGCCCAGGCGGGCGCGGGCGCGAGATGAACATCGTCCCGAAGGAAAAGCTGGAGATGTGGTGCTCCGATGCGTGCGCGGAAAGGGCGATGTTCATCCGAGTGCAGCTCGCCGAGCAACCGGTGTGGGAACGAAGAGCGGACGATGCCCACGGCGCCCATATACTACTGCTCGAAGAGGAACGGGCCAGAACACAGCAGCAAGGAAAGGGCAAGATGCGGAGCGCGCCCAGCGTCAACGAGGTTACTGGTCAGCTAGGTGACTTGCATGTGCACGAGGGAGCAAGCTCTAGCGACGTGTTCGATCACATGGCCAAGCTGTCGGTTCGTGATGACGCACGTTCGCAGGAGCTTGCCCTTGAGCGTGGCGATGCTCACCCAGCACTGTACACGGGTCGCGTGGATGTCAATGTGCAAGAGAACAGTCGCGCTGCTGGCCCGGTGATGGCACCGCAGATGCGCCCGGGAGACGAGAAAGGAGGCTCTATCGAAGGATATGTGCCTCGCGATCATTGACTCGGCGAGGGCAGAAATGGCAGTAATGATTGAATGGAGCCATTGGCATTACGAGGGGCGTTGTGTTCCAGGAATGATACCCAGATAAGATAGCAATCTACAAGATCTAAGACGATATAACACCTCGGAAGATCGGCAAGAAGCATCGATCATAGAGGGTCACAAGACGTGGCTGTCTGATAGGCGATGAAATGTGCAATTCCTACGCAGCAACCGGCTGTAGCGACCAGCTGGTGAAAGGGAAGTGATTTGGCAATCAAGCGTCATCTCCGTTAGGAAAATCGGCGACACCTTGTTTGACGAAAGTCATGTTCATTCCTCATGAGTCTGTTTCTAGACTACAATGGTAGCTGGAAGCCTGCCAGAACAAGCATGAAAACGCCATGGATCGACCCAAGACAATCGTAAAACTTTTTTATTTTCCGCTCGAGGGCGCACAGATTTACCGGTAGCGACGGGGGCGCTCCTGGACCTGCTGCTGGGTGACGTTGACGACGTTGACCTTGAGGTTGTCGAACTAGAAACGCGAGACATATTAGCTTCCTTAAATTTCCCTCTTCTTTAGATCTTGGGAGAAAACTTACACCCAGGCTCTTGAGGAGATCCTTGGTGTCGGCGTCGACATCGAGCTGGCCGGACTCGGTCTGGGAGACATCCAGAGCAGAGACCTCAGGAACGTACTGATCCTTGCGCTCACGCTCCTCCTCCTGAAGCTTAAAGGAGATACCGCGGACAGGGCCACGCTGGATACGCTTCATAAGGTGGGTGGTGTAACCAGCAATCTAAATTCGAATCAAAAAATCAGTGATCCACTCTTGATTTCTAGCGTCTTTCGGCGCGCGCGCGCGCAGAATTCTGCTAACCTTGTTGCGGAGACGCTTGGAGGCAATGATGGCGATCTCATCGCAAATGCGCTTGTTGGTCTCGAAGTCGAGCGTCAACTTGGGGTAGTAACGCTCGATGATGACCTTAGCGGAACGCTTGACTGTCTATACGGCGAAATCGTCAGAATCGTGGCGGCATACACGCGGTTTCCGTGGTGTCTCTGCTCACCTTGGTACGGACGCGACCCATTTTGGCGGTTTGTTGCTGGCTGGATGGATGTTCGAAACTCCGACTACGATTCCTTATGTCTCCCGCTCCTCAAAGACACCCATCCTCGCTTAGCCGTGTGCGGATCACGTGCTGGTAATCGCCCTGATCGTCAGCCCTAACTATCTGCACGTGATATCTGCTTTCAACCAATGCCTAACTAACCTGCATTGATAGCTGACTAACTAGGTAGTTACGTGTTGACTCCGTTACTACTGAGTACTACTACCTGTATTAACTGTACATAAGAAAATACCTAGTACCTGTATATCATGAGCACCGACTTATACCAAATCTTCTCATTGGTAGCTAAAGCAGCGATTACGGGTAAATTGGGGACCAGGCGGGCGTTCTTGAGCTTGAGAAAGGTTTGAATCTGCTACCATTTAATATGTATGGACCGCAATGTGCTTATACAACAGCAAAAGAGAAAAAGAACAGGAGTAGCTCTACAATGACCAAAAAACAAAACCACATAATCGTACAGACCGTACAGCTCTCTCACTAGCTGCAGAAATAAGCTGCACCATCAAGATAGAAATAAGATCACGAAAACGGATACGTCTCGCTCATACTTAGGTCAAGCTCTTCATGAGATCCCGTGCGAGAGTCTCCGGATTATCCGCTGGTGAGCCCAAGTCTTCCGACGCCGAAAATGTGCCAGGCAGGGGGCGAGCTCTATCCAACCTCGGCACCTGCCGCTGGCCACTTTGGGAGATGACACGGGACACATGTTTTGGTTTCGGCTTCTGGTACTCTGTGATGCCGTAAGGTGCTCTAGTATTAACAGTAGCGCGATAACTAGCCAAATCGATGCGACCGTGTGAATTGACGGAAGCCCGAACAGGGTTGACCCAGTACTTGGCACCACCAGGGATGGCGGCGTCAAACTGATCAATGCCAGCTGGCCCCTCATGCTCATTAAAGGCCATGGCGTTGATATCTTCCACAACGATACCAGCAACACCGCCGACCGCTTTTCCTCCCTTGTTCTTGAACCTGCCCTTGGGGCGCAAGACACGTGCCTCAACAGGACGTTGATAAGTCTGAGGTCCGAATCTGGGATGGTTGTAAAGCAAGGCGTGAGATCTGGTGTAGGACAGTCCTGCGGAGGGATGCGTCTTCGGAGGTCCGGACGCAACATACTCATCGGAAGACAGTTTGGGGGCAGGGGGGTGGAAATACGTCTGTCTAACCATGTGTGCAATCATGTCGGAAGGTATCGCGGGAGGTGGTGGGAGATCCAGAATTTGAAAGATCACTGCACCTAAAGAGATTGAATCCGCACGCAGCGACTTGACATAGGCCTGAAACTCTTCCTCCACAAATTCGAAGGGTGTATCGATTTCCTCAAAATTCCCGCTGTCCTGTGCCTGCTTTCTTCGCTCGGTGGTTCGCTTTGCGATGAAATACTCGCGTAACTTCTCCATAATCTTCGGCTTGTTCCTGCGCACAGTCTTCAAGTAGGCCTGGAACTCCGCCTCTGTCTGACTGGCGAGGTATGGTCCAGAATGCCGGAACTTTTTGGCGGCGGGGTCGTCGAGGCCCGCGCTTGTTTCGGTGTTGTCCAAACGGGTTTCGAAAGGACTTGAGTGCCGAGGAGCTTGGCTGCTGGAGTAGCTGACTTTCTCAGGGAGGGACATCGGCAAATGGAGCTCTTGAAACTTCTCCAAGGTCACCGTATGATCCGCCGCTGATTCGAAATCCGTAGTATGTTCGAAGGTGTCGAGGGCATTGAGTCGAACCACAGGCCGTGAGGATCTAGCAGACGTTGTCTTTGCCGGCAAGGGTCTCTTCAAACCCCAGTCACCCTTCAGAAGAGAAGATGCTGGTGTGACAATGGCCGCTCGGATAGGGTGAGGAAGGGTTGCGGAATCGGATTCAGTGACCGTTCTCGAAGTTGGTTGTTCTTGAGGCGGAGTCAAAGCCTGCGGAAGTGCAAACAGGCGAGAATTCCGCAGCAGATTTGCTGTCGGGGATAGGCTGACTCGCACCATGGCGCCGGACTTGAAGTTAGGACGTTGTGCGGGTGGTCACTGTCCGGAGGAAGCTGGAGAAAAGTTGATTAATCCTCTACAGCCGCGCCAAGCCGTGGGTTACGGCAGCCCACAACAACACATCATGCACCTGATCACCGCTCACTTAGCGCAGGGTTGT